CAGGAAAGGCTTGAACGAGAAAGACTTGAGCGGCTCGAAAGAGAGAGGAAAGAGAAGGAGGAACGTGAAAAGCAGGAAAAGGAGCAAGCTGAACGCGAAAGAGTTAGGCGAGAAAATGAACGACTGGAACAAGAACGGAGGGAACGGGAAAGGAAGGAGAAGGAACGCGAGGAAAAAGAGCGCAAGGAAAAGGAGCAGCAAGAGAGGGAACGTGAAGAGCGACGGGAGCGGGAACGAGAAGAACGAAAACGAGAACGGGAACATGAGGAGAAGATGCGGAAAGAGAAGGAGGAGGAGAAATTGCGGAAAGAGAAGGAGGAGGAGAAATTGCGGCGCGAAATGAGGAAACAAAAGGAAAAAGAAAGGAGCAGCAACAGCGAGAAGAAATCGAAGGAAATGAACGACCGAAGTGAAGGAGGTATTGAGCGAAAAGAGCGCACGAAAAATTCGGACGTGGATAAGTCAGAGAGTCTTCCCAACGAAAGAAAAGACAGTGTAAGTTTTATTTGTATCTTCATGACTTCCATTTCAAAGTTATTTTGAACTCTCATCATCTTGCATTTTCATTTTCTTCGCTTTCGCCATATAACAATCTCATGTCAGTTTGATGATTATTACAGGCTGCCCGCTTGGATGGACTCCGAGGTGAAATAACGTTGAGGGGTCTTGATCGATCAAAACTCAAACAACTCGTTGAAATTGGAAGACGAGCTGGTCGATTGAAAGTGCGTCAACCAATTGCTATTTAATTTGATTTAATCATCCCAGTTCAGGAAGATTATAAGGAGGACGGCAAAGAAGCAAGTGCTAAGGACGAAAAGCGGAAGGAGAAGAAAGAGAAGGAAAAGGAGCGGGAGAAGAAATCCAAGGATAAGTTATCTGTAGAAGATGCCTTGCGGAAGGGTGCCAGGCTGCCCAGTGCAAAAAGTAGCCCTGTAAGTTTCTTTTCATGCCCTTCTAAACTTCTTTGTGGGTTTAGAGTGAACATTGCCGCAGTATTTTCCTGATAGTTCCTACCGTCTCAGCTTTTCCAGAGTATCATTTTTCTTTTCATTTCAGTGTCTGCCACGTGCAGGAAGTTCACAATCGCATGAGGAAGCATCGCATTCTCGCCCTTCATCTGCTATAAGCAACCACCCACCAAGGAGTGGATTTG